AATAGTATTTATAATAATAGTATTAGTAATAATATTAATAATAATAATATTAATAACAGTAACTTTTAGGACTTTTCTAGGCCTAGGCTTTTATCTCTTAATAGTATAAGCCTTTTTTTAGGATAAGGCTTTTATTATCAGGTAATATCTTTTTTAACCTAAAAAGGCCCTGTAAAATAGAAGGGTTTTTCCTTTAATAAAAAACCATTATTTGTGATAAGAGCCTAGCTTAGAGTAATTACTTAATTTATCTAATAACAGTCTTTAGTATTAAAGGTCCTTGGCTTTCCCCAAGGCCTTAAGGGACCAAAAACGTCTGTCGGTGAGGGACTTTGCCCTAGGTCTCGTGACCGTAGCCCTTGTGTAACCAGCCATTTCCGTGTAACATGCCGCCCTTTTGGTGACAGCATCCTCACCGTCCTGCCGACATTAATCTATTTCATAGTCCTTGACAGTTGGTCGTCAAAGAGATCAGATAGCGCACAAACTACACCCACATGTAAAATGAACAAATGAGTTACATAACACAACTGTTCAGAGCACCTTAGATTAACCCTACGTAAAGAATAGAGCGTTATGAAATTGAGTCACTTGCTGTCGAACTGCTGCACATCGGGCAGCAGTATAACGACAGCTCTAGCCTTGAATAAGCAACTTGATCCTAAAAAAAATGGCAAGGGGAGGCAAGGGCTGGCCCAGTGAAAGATGGTAATCGTATGATTAACGAGGCATTGATATCGACCAGGAACTAGGCAAGACAACGCCGTTTTAAGTTGACTATTGTATCCATGCATAAATAACGATTCGTATAAGGTCTTGATTCCAATATTCGCCATGTCTGCCACCTGAATATCCGAGTCCTTCAGACAAGTATCCGAGTCAGGGGCTGGAACTATGAATCGTGACGACGGCATAGTCATTACTATTTCTCTATAAGTACCCAGGCCTCACGTCATTTCATCGATTGTCTAGTCAACAAACTCTCGATACCACTGCTTGGATATACACTTCCTCTTTTTCCTCTACCATCATGAAATCCGCCATTATTCTAGCCAGCACCGCCGCCCTGGCGAGCGCCTTGGTCCAGCCCAAGCCCGCCGTCGGCGCCCAGCTCACGTCTGCAAAGGGAGTTGACGGGAGCAGCTACGGCAAACGGGCCCCAGACATCTGCCTCGAAACAGAGGCGAAAGTGGTCAAAAAAGAAGCAACCTTTGAAGAATGGAAGAAGGCCTGTGGAGCAGAAGGCCTATGTAGCGCCATGCACAGTGAACCTTTGCTTTGGCAGAGAATCCCAGAGCTTTGCGGATGGGCGTTTACCCAGGCTTGTCCGTCTTCGCCTGCAGAACCCTCACCCGCACCAGCTCAGTACGGCTGTCTCGAAACCGAGGCCAGGGTGATCAAAAAGGAAGCATCTTTCGACGAATGGAAACAAGTCTGCAAGACTGAGGGCCTCTGCAGAGCCTTACATAGCGAGCCCTTGCTTTGGCAGAAAATCCCAGAGCTTCCCGGATGGGCTCTTGCCTGGGCTTGTCCGCCTTCGCCTGCAGAATCCTCACCATCACCAGCTCAGTACGGCTGTCTCGAAACCGAAGTCAAGGTGATCAAAAACGAAGCATCTTTCGACGAATGGAAACAAGTCTGCAAGACTGAGGGCCTCTGCAGAGCCTTACATAGCGAGCCCTTGCTTTGGCAGAAAATTCCAGAGCTTCCCGGATGGGCTCTTGCCTGGGCTTGTCCGCCTTCGCCTGCAGAATCCTCACCATCACCAGCTCAGTACGGCTGTCTCGAAACCGAAGTCAAGGTGATCAAAAACGAAGCATCTTTCGACGAATGGAAACAAGTCTGCAAGACTGAGGGCCTCTGCAGAGCCTTACATAGCGAGCCCTTGCTTTGGCAGAAAATTCCAGACCTTGCCGGGTGGGTAATGGCTCAGGCCTGCCCATCCGCAAACAGCGCCTAGTCGATGCTTTTTTTGCAAAACCCCCTTGTGGCTGGTCTTGAAGACTGGGTATTCATAGTCGGCAGTTGGGTGCTACGTGCCCCGAATACCTTGACTTGAAGACTCGATAGTTATGAATCGGGCTGGATGTCGTGGCTGGAAAAGCCGGGAATACAAGGAGGAAGCTTCTACAGGCTTATTGTCATCTTTTATTTCTTCGTCAGATACTTCTCACTCAATATAACTGGCACCCTCGGCGCCACCGTACCACTGTTTTTCGTGATTGACCCTCCATTATGTGACAGTTATGAGCCCGGTAGCACTTTGGCGCTGATCATGGCTCGTTTTGACCGTCTGGCCACTTGCCCACCGACGTGCTGTATGAGTTGTCAGACTCTCTACCCCTCCAATGACTGACTGGCCCTTTGGTTCAACGTGGAGGCCTGTCTCCCTGCATGGCGCAGAGAACCAACACGAGGCGTTGCGGAATGTACACCCAGCCCTGGAGGGTTTTCTGCACATGCATAGTATTGGACGGGAGGCAGCGCCGAGTTTTGGCAACACTCGTGAGCAAGTTGTCTGCGGGGGAAGCATAGGATTTTGCTACTAGTTCGAAACAGCATGCCTAGAGGAGGGACTCGACTAGGATACAGGGTTGACCGTTGTATATATATAGTAGCTCTTATCCTGGACCGGAGTCTATTTTGATAGATGAGCCCTGCTGCCTACCTATAGATGTTGATGCCGTTGCTCAACTTCTCGCCTAAACTCACGGTCAACAACAATGACACCTTGGCCCCCCTTTGTAGAAGTCACGGCACTCAAATCCGCCATGGCGTATGTTTCGACGCCATTCTTGACGGGACTCGACGGCGAAGAATCCGTATCATCAAGTTTGTGGCCCGGGGCGGCGTCGCACGTGGTGCGTTCTACTGAGCTCTTGGAGGAATCGGGACGGTGCCCAGAGCCAAGAGATATAATGCTGCGAATGCTATGCAGGACACGCTCGGGGGGAACTCCAGCAACGAGGTACCAAAGCGACGGGCCGTTTATCGCGACAATGTTGAAGGCGGCTTCGAGGATGGCGTAATATACGATCTGGGTATTGCCCTCTGCAAGGACGTTGCGTGAGCCTCCGATCCGTGTGCTACTGGTGAGAAAGAGTCTGGTTGATATTTCATCACATACGGTAGGTATCTTTAGCATTCCCAGCTCTGCCCTTGCGAATAAGCTGCATCATGATAACCAAGCGTGCTGTACTCGCACCTAAGCCGCTGCGTGAACAGCAGCATTAGCACATGCGCACCTCCATCAACGACCAAGGGGGTGGTTCATACACGAGCGCAATGAGAAAGACACAGGAGACTGCGATTTTCCGGACCGTGGTCATGTTGAGAGACCAAATCTGGAGCGAGTCAGCCTCAGCCTTTGCAGCGCGGCTAGACAGTCGTCGCACAGTTGGGAAACCATACCTTGGGGAGCGGCAAGACAAGCACCGCAACGTCTAGAACAAAGTCGGACACGGAAATGCCCTTAAAGTAGGCATAGTGGTCACATTGCGCCGCGTGGTGGATATCCCACTCGATGCTCTTCAAGGGGCCACACAGATTCAGGGGCACGACAATAAAGGTCACGGTCCACGCGGCGATGAACAAGACGAAGACCACGGTGACATAGTCGAACACGTCGCGGCGAGGTCCAAGGCAAAAGGTGCGCCGGTAGAAAAACACGGCGCTGAGCTTGGTCATGCCAAACGTCATTGCGGTCAGCACGTCAAAGGAAATGAGAGCGCGCGCCTGCGTCAACGCCACGGCTTGGACCAGCGCCCTGTCCCTGGGCATCGCGTAGCCCAGGAATCCCCTCGATATGCCTAGACAGCGTGGTTAGTCGTGGGTTCCGGGCCGAGCAACACGAATTCCGCCCATGCTGACCGAAGAAGGACAGGGCCGCGAGGCCAACGAAGCCGACCTGGCGCCGGGTCAAAACGTTAAGACTCCATTGTGTAGTCAGAGCATCGGGCTCGGCTTACCCACGCCAGTGCCATGGTGTAATCGTCCATCCAGACTCGGCCCCTTTGCTTGTAGCGAGCTACGAAGCGCAACACGACGCTTCCCGCGGTGAGGAGCAGAAACGTGCCGCTCAAGGCTGCGAGCCCATTTGCCTCGACGTCGAGCCCCATGATGTGTTGACGGGGCGCTGAAGAAGAGGTGAGAACCGACGGCTGGTGGAAGAAGGGTCTGGTAGCCTTCCTTTCCTGGGGGCCAAACGGGAGGAATGGCACGACCACATAGGCCATCGGGGGGATGTCGTGCCATGTCGGGATAATCCCCGACTGATGGCTGCACGGAGCGTCATCACATCATGTCTGGGTGCGGACGGTGCTGACGCTGCCTTGCGCGGCGGCATTGGTGATTGGCTCGACTGGAATGGAAGCTCGAGCTTGTCTTACTTCGCGGCCCTCTGGGATACGACCCTTGCGCGAGGCAGCGTCACATTGCCATGTCGATTGGGCAAAGATGGGCCGGGCAGGGCAACACGACACACCGTCTGCAGGCTGTGCGTGAGGCGTTGCCATCCCCACGGTTCGATGTAGGAGCCACGAGGAGTTGGATCTGACTCATGGGTTGTTCGATGTGGTTTCGCTTTCTGGGAGATTGTAGAGGCGTATCGAGGGTACGCGATGTTCAGCCCAGTCGCCGACAGATATAAACGTATATAGACCTCTAGGAGACGCAAAGTCGCTTTTCTTGGAAATTCAAATCTGTAAATTGTTAACTCGATTCTCTCTGTTCTGAATTGTACCGCTATATACTTTATTTAAAAAAAAGAAAGAAAGAAGAAGCAGATATGAACTTCTACCTCCTAGTTCTTGCCATGGTTGCTCTCGCTCTGGCTGCTCCTCTGCCGGCACCAGAAGATTTCTCTCTCCAAAGCACCTGGGAGGTCAGGAGTAGATACAGTGAGTGGTCTCTTGACGGGTTGTATAAAAGCTCGCTAAATTAATGTATTTTTTGTTGCAGACGATCAAGCATCTCATCCCATCGCGGGCGGCCTTTGAATTACCAAGGCCAAGGTATCTGTCAGGGGGATCTACCAAGGTTTAATCCTTTGCTACGCAAATGGAGTTTGGGTGTAGAGTTTAGGCGTGTGAGGGTTTAAGGTTAGAGAAATGTTTTCCAGGGTCAGGGGGAATTGTTTGGATTTGATGCTGCTACAGGAGCTTTATTCACTTCATAGACATTATGATTCGTTTTTATGCGGTCTTCCTTTTAGTATATCACGGTTCTCTGGCTTAGGTACAACCAGGCACACGGTGTTTGTACTTGGACCTTATGATAGAGTGTTGGCACGAATATTGGAATAGCTTAAAAATTAAAAAAAAAAAAAACAAAAAAAACCAATCAATAGACATGGGCTTAGTCCACGACCACGCGGATGCTTATACAGGACGTCGAGAATAAACCCCGTAACGAGACTATACATGGATTGTAAGCACAACAAAGTGTGTTCAAATCTCAGACATGGTCTCTCCTGTTGTCACCCCTCTGGATCTTTTGTTGTATGATGCGGCGGCAGAAGAGTTCATATTACAGATACTTAATAAATATCCACAAACATACTCTAGAGTCTAAATAAATCCACAATCTAAATGCCAAAACGCCCTTCCGCCACCCCTTTATCCAAGCATTCCCCTATTCCTCCTTCTCCCACGGCTTGCTCCCATCCGGACACCTCTTATAGCGATCCAGCAGCGGAATATAATGATCGCCAGGACGATAGTAGCAAGCAGAGTTGTCAATAGCGTGCTGGCGCAGCTTGTTCCAGTCGCGGCACATGCGAACCTGGCCTATCCCTGATTCCACCACGGTCTCGTTCTCCTGCGCGTGCAACCGCCCCGTATACCGCGGCGTGTCGTCAGCGGCACACATGACGTCCTCGCGAAGGACATGTAGGCAGTGCGTTACATGTCCGTATGGCCATGTCTGCGTCTTGTTATCGTGGTACTGCATTATGACGTCGCGCAGCAAGAACTTCAAGGGCTTGCTATGTTAGATGCTGCTTGGCACGCGGATGAGCGAGAAGGGCTTACCACGCAGTGTAAAGAGTGAAACCCGTGCAATATATATATGCTCCTGGAGCTGTCCCAGGGCCAGTGCATGGCGGTAGGCAAACCCTTGGACTGGGCAACGTCGTTTTGCAGCGCGACCCATCCTAGGTACCAGTCATACTCGGGAGAATCCCACATAGGGTCTTCGATGGTATGGTCATTATGGGAAATGGGCACCGGCACGTTGGTTTCTAGATCAACTAATGTCAAAAGCGTTAGTGGCGTATTCTGAAATATCGCAGAGCATTTATACTTCTTACAGAAACTTGGAGAGGTGAGAGAGCACCGCTGTCTGGTCAAGAGCAGAGCCGTAGAAACGGCAGTAACGCCAAGCATAAAAAGTAGTGCGTATATTATCTTCCTTGCCCGCGTCAAGGCCAATTCTTGTGCCGAGAATGTGGCGTCATCATCAGACTCAACGTCGTCTTGTGAAGCACGGGACGACGTCTGACCCAACAATTTGTATTTTTGGCGCGAGTGCATGATTGCAATTGCTCACGGGGTGGCATGTTGTTCTTCAATTAAAGAGGAACGTGCATTCAGAATAAGTACTTGATACATTTTATCATAAGAGATGCCGTGGTCAAGACTCAGACACGGAGGGATTACTCTGAAAGTAAACACTGCCTCCGCCTCGTCCGGGCGCAGTAGACGCACGCGAACCAACAATATCTACACGCCAAAAAGGCAATTCATTGTCATGACGGATTGCAGGACAAAGGAGCCCTTTGTCTCGTGGAGCCGCTCAAAATAGACAAGGCAGATCCAGCACTGTAGATGCATCTCGGACCTTGTCTCAAAGCCCTGCATTAGTCTCTGACAACCTGCCTGATAGGATACGAAGTCCTCCCAGTAAACATTCAGCTGTCGCCCTGAATCCTTCTCCGAACCCCCACAGCCATGTGAGGCCCGTGTTACCTGCGATGTGACGCTGTGTTGGTCCCCAAGTCAGACTGGTTGCCTGAAGCGTCAAGAGCGCCCAACACGTAAAAATACGGAGTACGTAAAAGTGATATCGGGATTGACGAAGCCGTGCCGCTGTATCCGGTCGATTCCTGTCTTGTCGTTTTTCTTCGAGGCGCATTTCACATCACGGTCTATTTGCGTCCATTTTCATCATCAAATCTGCCATAGAGAGTCGAAGACCATATACGGCGTAATACGGCACCGACGCTCGACCAAGCAACATGGGTTCAACAAACGGCAGCAGCCAGGTCTTGGGAGAGTACATGCACCCCGTTGTCGACCAGAACTCCGAGCGAGGAGACCCTTGGCAGCGAAGCTACGGCGCGCCTCCCCCCGTGGGCGATCTCGTTCCGCGAAGCTCGCCACTGATCGATATCCGCCCATTGCTTTCTGAACCAGGGCACACCGCCGTCGGGCATCTCAAGAGTCATGGATTCGGGGTAGTCAAGCACCGCTCGGCGTCCCTGGAGTCATGCTATACAAACAAAGGAGAGATGGACGAGGAAGCCGTGGCGAGCATGTATTACCCTGAAATCAAGGAACTAGTTGCAAAGACCCTGGGCGCCGAATACGTCCACGTTACGCATAGCGTCTTTCGGCGAGGCGCAAGAGCACCAGAGCCGTTCAAGATGCCAACGGGCTTGAAGCCATTGCCGGCAGACGACGGCAAACATGGAGACAGGGGGGCTTCTACAGAAAAGAGCAAGGCAAAGCAAGGCAAGCCGGCAGACTACTGGACATGCCGACCGCGCATGTCTATATCGACACCGGCGCGCGTCCCCCATCTCGACTTCACGCCGCTCTCTGCACGGCGGACGCTGCGCTTTCACAGCCAAGAGATCTACAAGACAGCCCTGGAGCGAGGCATGATTGCGGCCGAGGACACAATCTGTCAGGACCACGCGTTTCGACCGTCCGACAAGGAATCAGACGCCCTCATCGCCAGGCAGTACAATAACACCGAGAGCGGGCGACTTGGGCCCCGATACGCCGCGTATAGTATCTGGCGGCCCCTGAAGAAGGTGGCCCGCGACCCCCTGACGTTCTCGCCGCGAAAGGAGACGCCCGCCAGCGCCGAAGACGACATGGTACACTGGCGATATGAGAACAGGGTCCCCGGGCCCCCGGAGCTAGGCGGCGACTGGCTAAAGGAGTTTGCCATGCTCGGCGTGAAAGCGAAGGAACCGCCGCCGGAGCAGAGCCCTCGGCATGCGAGCACCGGCTCAGAGTGGTACTACGTGTCGGCGCAGGAGACGGACGAGGTCCTGTTCGTGCAGCTCTTTGACAGCGCATCGCTGGGCGAGGATTCCCAGCACGCAGGTGCCCCGTGGCATGCGAGCCCTGAAATCGGCGCCGCTGCCGGCGATGAGCTCAGGGAGAGTATTGACGTTCGCGTCCTTGTCCTCTGGTGAGAAGAGTGCTGTAGTATGTATCATTCGCGCAAAAGACTGCATTGTGAAGTTGTGAGAAAGTAATTTATAAGGACTGACTCGCTGGCTGAACGCTTTGATGCTATCTAATCAGATTCTTTGTGATGCGAACCGCTTAAATCTGTCTGAGAAGGAATATAAAGAAAATAACCAGGAACCAGAAATAGGTTGCTCTTTCCCACCGCAAGTATTCCACAATGTACTACGATATACCACAGTATTTCACAGTATGCTATAATGAAGTATAGCATATTATAATAGAACGTGTAATAGCCGGATACTTGACTTGGTCCTGCTGGCTATTATAAAGCCTCTGGATGACTGTCCAGCACCTTCGCTTTCCCAGGGCAGTTTGCAACCACGCGCTTCTGACCCCTTTTCCTCTCCTTCTTGGAGAGATCAACTACTGTCTTGTGCTTGGGCGGTTCCAAGATCTTGGCATAGTCAAAGTCTATCACCATGACCCGGCCCAGCTCCTCGTTCCAGAGCAGGTTGGCATCGTGCACGTCATCGTGGTAAATACCCTCGTTTCGAACAGCCTCCGAGGACCGCTGCACCTCGAGTGACAAACCTGGCGATTTTCCCTCTTTGACCGTTTGTCCCCCCCAAGACATGAGCATCATATGAACTGCTCTCAGGCCTCCGGGGAGTATGTAACCGCCGGGAAGCTCGACCAAGCCCAGATGCACGGGTACCGCGTCGCCCTGAAGCCGGTGGAGCTTCTCGTATACATTTGTCTCGTGCTCCAGGCTGCACAGTAGCGTGGCCGTGGTGCCCTTGGCGACAAATGTGTATCCGTAGGGTGCCAGCTCCAGCTTGAAGAGCACCCCGGTGCTCCCGTACATGCCCCAGGGGGACAGCAACTCGCAGTAGTCGTACGGGTCCCTGCGAAGCTGCTCGTTGACGAGGCGGGTGAACTCGGCCATGTCGATTGCGTGCTGCTCGTTTCCACCGACAGCACGGTGGAATTGCACGTTGGGGCAGTTGTTAGCGAGGTGGCGACCCGTCTTGAGGCCAAGCAGGCAGGCCTGCGTGCAGTATTGCTTCGCCGGCTTGTTGTATGCGCGGCGGACGCAAGTATTTGTCTCGCTGTCCTCGGATACGTAGCCCTGCCGACCCCATATGGCCAATGATTCCTTCGCAGCCTGCGTCGACGCCTCCAAGTCCGGGCCCTCGGCCGCCTCGGATTGAAGGCTCTGAAGGCAAAAGCTGGCCAGTTGGGCCACTGCGGTATTGGACATGTGCGTGGACCAGTCGTCCTCATTCGCCGCATCCCTCACCACCCTTTCTGGCACGCACAGATGGTGATACAGTGTCCGAGGCTCGGTTGGATCATAGTAAAGGAAAACATAGAACTTGCCGGCGGCGACATAGCCATACGAAACCCCATAGGTTATCATGAAGTTGAACACCCGTATCAGGATCCTGGCGATGTATTATTGCCAGGCCTCTTGAGCATTGCCTTGTCTCGTGTCTGATTTGCTCATAACCCGGGCGTTGACATCTTCGAATAGTGTCTCCATTTGAAGAGCCTCTTGGAGATGCTCCACGGACAACACGTAATCGTGCTGGTAATCAAACACGAAAGCGTAGTGTTCACTGCCGTCCAGGCTCGTTTGGATACCGAAGCCGTAAGGCCTGGTCTCCCTGGCTATGATATGTTCACCAAACCCGGGCATTTCTCCTGCGCTCTTCACACGTATATCCGCAAACGGATACCGCCCACGTAGTCCCTTGTCGTCCCAGATGGGCGCGAGAATTTTGCCGACTGGTTGCTCGATAGCGAACCGTTCGAAATTCCAGAGATCTGATATGTACTCAGCGATAGTCCCTTCAAACAGTCTACCAATGATCTTAGTATCCAGCTCTGATAGAAAACGCCGGTCCTGGGCGCAAGCCGCCCTGAGGTCGTTAAATCGTAGTTCCCGCTGGTGGGCAAAGGTTCTCCAGGGGAGAAGCCGCTTTGGGTAGAATTTACCGTCGACAGGCGTTGCGGGCACCGGCAAGCCATGGCCCGGTGGCGGGAGACGGAGCTTTAAATAGATATGAAAGTGACAGTAATACAAGTACTCTGACAGCGTGGACTTTTGGTCCTTGCGTCTGTCTTCCTCTAGCAACCTTTCGTGCTTGCGTTGCTCTTCCTCGCGCAACCTTTCGCTCTTGCGTGTCACTTCGTGTAGCAACCTTTCGAGTTCCGCAATCCGATCCTTATCAGACATGATGTTGGCTGCAAGACCTGTCAAGTATGCCCCCAGCACATCCTAGAATAGTAGTCGACGGTATAGCGTACGGAGTAATGTGATGATCAGAATATGCAGAGTTCCGTTTGATACATACACGACGGGGAAGTGTGGAAGAGATGCTGACAGTCAAGACAAGATTAAAGTTGGGCTGAAATGTCACCAACAGCCCCGTGCCTATTTTGAAGAACAGAAAACTAGGGGGTCCTTATGTAAGCCCCAGGGCCCAACCGACCAACACTGCGAGGACTTGGCCTTTTTTCTTCCAGCCACATCTGCTACGTAATCACTGGGCACCGAGAATTCGTGGCTGTACTGAGAAACGTCAATGTTGGTTCAGAGGTAGTGCTTTGTGGGGCATCTGGCGACTGAAGGCGATGTGGTATAAATAGTGTTGTAAGAAAAATACAGAAGATCTACCAAAATAAGACTTCGCCTTGCGTGAGGGATCCACGTTTAGCAGAGTCGTTAAAACAAATAGCTAAGCGTCAACGGTGTGCTCATCGTATTTGTTGCCTAAACCTTCTGAGTCTGGGAAACTTGGGTCAATCCGGGGTAACTGCCCCCACGGTGCATGCTCGTAAAGAACCTGGCGGATAGCATCCCTGTCTTTGGCCATCGACGGCGAACGCCTTTGATCGCACGTTCAACCATGAACCCGGACTGGTTGACGCCACTGCGCTTGTAGAAAGAATAAAGAGCGAACATGGCCCCATCACACACTGGGGAATGTTCGAGCAAAGATTCTTCCCTCCTTCCTTCCTTCGACAATTCATTCGCATGAACGCCCCTCCCGGACCCGACATCCCGATATCCACATCGGCCGGTTCCGAGGCTTTTCTGCCCCAGTCTGTCCCGCTTCCACCCTCGACAACCCGGGGCAAGACGAACCGCAAGAGTTCCCGCCCCTCCACGCCAATCACCACCATCGCATTGATTAATTTATCATCCCCAGCTCCCTCCCTCCCCCCTCCTCCTCCCACTCCTCCGCGCTGCTGCAACGGACCAACCCCGTCACCATGGCAGACCAGATGAACCTCCCCGTCGTCGACCTCGACGTCTACCTCAACCAAGAGGCGTCGTCGCCCGCCGTCGTCGCCGAGTGCGCCAAAGCCGCCAACGCCCTCATCACCTACGGCGCCCTCGTGCTGCACGACTCGCGCGTCTCCCCCTCGGACAACGAGTCCTTCCTCGACCTCCTCGAGGACTACTTCGCCCAGCCGGAAGCCGAGCTGCGCAAGGACGAGCGCCCCGAGCTCAGCTACCAGATCGGCGTGACGCTCGAAAACACCGAGAAGCCCAAGTGCGCCGTCGACGAGCCCTGCCTCGACGTCATCCGGCGCCTGCACCCCTCGCAGCGCCCGCTCGACATCTCGGCCCACCAGCCCGACCCGAAATGCCGCTTCTTCTGGCGCATGGCCTCGCCGCCGCCCTACGAGACGCAGTTCCCGGGCCTCAACGCCGCCAACGTCGTCCCCTCGGCCGACGGCGTCCGCCCGCGCTGGGCGCCCACAATGGACAAATGGGGCACCTGCATGAAGGACGCGTCCGTAAAAACCCTCCCTCCTTCTCAAAATATCCCACTCACCAAGGGCAGCGTGTCGAAACTATCTGAAATGACAGCCGTGGGCCTCGGCCTCCCAGCAACATACTTTAGCGACGCCGGCGCATACGGGTCCGTTTCTCCCCCTCCATCTCCCCAGGATATATCCTAACAGACATCAATCCCACAGCCCGCACCTCCTCGCGCCCACGGCGTCCGACCTGACCAAGTACGCGCAAAAGGACACCATACTAGCCGGCTTCCACACGGACCTCAACTTCCTCACCATCCACGGGCGCTCGCGCTACCCAGGCCTCAACATCTGGGCCCGCAACACGGGCGACCGGCTGGCCGTCGCCATCCCCCCCGGGAACCACCTCCTCGTCCAGGCGGGCAAGCAGCTCGAGCACGCGACGGGCGGCCTCATCAAGGCCGGCTACCACGAGGTCGTCGTCAACGAGCGCACCCTCGACGCCGTCGCCCGCCGCGCGCGCGAGCTCCCCGACAGGCCGCTGGTCCGCATCTCGAGCACCCTCTTCTGGCACCTCAACTCGGACTTTGACCTGGCCCCCGTCCCCGAGCTGGCCGCCAGGGCGAGCAGGCTGAGGCAGGAGCAGCGGCTGCTGGGGAGGGACGAGGGCGACGAGCCCAGCTACCCGCCTACCAAGGTGGGACATCAAGTCCAGGGGTGAGTAAAGGCAGCGTCAATGGCATACAGGTTCGCCCCCCCGGGAGACTGCTAACAACCATGGTGTAGGGAACTGAAACATATTGCTTTGATGGCGTAGACGCATGGCATGCTCACGACGAGACGACAAATAGCGGGCAAATACCAATCATTATTAGCACTGTTTTCTAACTACTTTTGGCGAATAAAAGTCACCATGGTGTTATGCACGCCGTGTCAGTAAGCATAAAGCACTACAGCAGTGGCTCACCGTCATGCGTTGGCAACGTCACCTCACGGTATAGCATTACTCAGTATAAGCAGATGGAATCTTGTCTCACTATATGACTGTCATTGCATAAACGCCCTATTAAATGCCACACACCTAACCGTCCAGTCCATCATCACCACTTGCTCTCACCATCGTATTGTAAGCATCCACTAAACACACAAACTCCACTCGTCATCAATCATATCAGCAAAATACGAAAAAAAAAAAAAACCAAACTACCTCAGCTCTATGCCTTGGCTGGAGCCAGTTGCGAAGAATTCTTAGCCTCTGGCCCGGCATCCGAGCCCTGCTCGTCGGAGCTGAGCTTGCGCTGAACAGCAGCCTCAGTGGGCGGCGGATCCTCCCGCCAAAAGTCCTTCTGGCCCTTTCCTAATCGAACCAACCACGGCGGAAGAAAGCCGCCGGGAATACGCCACGTCCAGTTCTCCTGCTCGTCCATGTTGGATGGTAGTATGCGTCCGCCAGACAACTTTTTCACCAGCCACACCGTGACGTTGATGATGATGTACGAGAAGATGCCGCCAATCAATCCATTGGCAATCGAGTACGTGAAAGGCATGAGGCAGATAGCGAGGAAGGCGGGGACGGCATCTCCCATATATTTCCAGTTGATTTCGGGAACAGCGCCGGCCATCATTGATCCGACGAGGATAAGAACACAGCCCGTGGCCCAAGGGGGAATCGAGGCGAAGATTGGGGCGAAGAAAACGGCAATGAAGAAGCAGAAGCCAGTAGACATGGAAGTCAAGCCCGTCTTGCCACCTTCCGAGATACCGGCACCAGACTCGACAAAAGCCGTGACCGGAGGAACACCGAGAACAGCACCGACGGAGATGCACAGCGCGTCAACCATGTAGGCAACGGCCGAGCCCTCAAAATCTTGCGTCACGGGATCCATAAGGCCGGCGAACCGGGCCATGGAGTACAGTGTACCGGTGGCGTCGAGGATGTCGACATAAAGAAAGGTAATAAGGGCGAGGCCAAACTGACCCCCGTATTCGGAAACGTTCCAGTCCTGGACATTGAGCGTGTTCTGAATGGGGTGGAAAGTCACGACCTTCTTGAAGAAGTCAAACGAGCTGTTGCCAACGTCGGTGTACGGGAAGTAGGTGACCGGTGTTGTACGAGGCCACGAAATGATGCTGACGAGAAGGATGCCAATAATAATGGCACCTTTGACTCGAAACATGGTCAGTATCACAGTGAAGATTCCACCGCAGAAGATTCCAATCCACATTGCGGGGTGGCGCATCTTGTCCCAGCTGGGGCATGTGCCATCGGCAAGACGATTCTCAGGAGAGCATCCCGCGAGTTCCACAGGCGTCGCGGTGGCTCCGACCACAACACCAATCCCTTCACTGTACGTGAGTCCAATCAGAGTCAGATACAAGCCGATGCCAACGCCCGTGGCGACCTTGATGGAGTGGGGAATCGCTCTGGCAAGCCATTGTCGCAACCCGAGGATGGCAAGACCGAGAAAAATGAAACCTTCGACAAAGATGGCGGTGAGGGCTACTCGGTATGGGACCAGACCGGTACCATGATAGCCAACTATGCACAACCAAGTTAGCGGTTGCACGAGCACAAAACAAGAGCACCCGATTTTGCACCACGTACCGACTGTGTAAGCAAAATAAGCATTCAAGCCTAATCAGACGTCTCATTAGTATATACCCGATGAAGCAAATGGCCTCTGGTGTTCGAGTGCTGGTCAGCGTACCCATTCCTGGCGCCAAAGCAACCGGCCTGTGTGTCATGGTCAGCAGTGCAACAGTCACCAACTTTATCCCTAACGACGTACAAGTTGGCAAAGAGCCCCATGCAGAAGCATGATAGTGCCGATATGGCGGCAGTGGCCGTCACGATGTCGCGCTTGATATCCTGGGTGCAAAGCATGTAGTCTGCATCTTTATCGCAAGTAGGGTCTGCAGCAGTGTGAGGGCAAACGCAGGTACCGCCGGAATCCGATACGATTGACGCGTTGACGGCAATAATGTATGCCATGGCGAAGAAGGTGGTCATCCCGGCTCGCAGTTCTGTGAGGAAATAGGATCCTTTCCTCTCTCTAGGCTAGAAATGAAAACCATGGTGAGCACGAAGATCGACGTGAAGGTGAAGGCATGTCTTTAGCTGTGATGTATACTGGGGAATATGTGATATCATGTCTCAATTCAGAGTTGGAACCCCACAGTCGGGAACCTGCATCCAACATGGGGAACATGAGACACCACACATTGCCCGAAACAGAGTAGTACAGCACGAGAAACGTGATTATGAAAAGGAGAGGACCTACATGGCCGCTGCCGTCGAGGCGAAACCATTTTCCAACGACGCTGGTCGCCACCTTGACGTTGACATCTTCTATCCAGCCCATGACGCTCGGAAAGCTTGAGTGAAAATAGGATACTATGACACCATGCGGAAAGCGAATTGCATCAAAAACAGGCCAGCAAATGCACAGCCCGATCAGCCGGTAGGTGAGCGGATGCGTTTCCCTGTGCCGATAGGAGGAATAAAGAAAAGAGAGTCAAGCCGGGAGGGAATCTCAGCATCCAGAGTCGAAAAGGTGGGTGGCAATCGAGATTTTCACAGTGGAGATGAAGGAATGTAGTAGTAGAGGACCATGGGGAAGCTTTATGGAGGTTTGGAGTAGCACAACTGGGCCAGGGTTGGTGGTTTGAGATAGGGACTTGGAATAGCGTGTGCCATGCAACTAGAGAAGCGGCAGAAAATAAGTAAGAGTTCAGACAAGAGGTGTGTGGGAATTAAAGGCCGGCCGGCTCATTACTGATACCAAAGATTTCCAACTGACTTGCACGAAAATGGGGTGTGCGTGGATGATCCGCGGTCGGCAAGCAAGAGGGTCGGCTAGCCTTAACACTGACAGTCCGGCTTCAAGGGTTTTCCGACTCGCTCCTATCTTTTTATCTTTCATTTGTAACGAATCTATCCTTTGGCTCGCAGAAACGTCTAGTGGCGTCGGTAGGTCTCGTCGGTAGTTGTAGCTCAGCCAGAAACGCGAGACTGATTGGTACAGTGCAAGTTTGTCTCATGGCAAGGTTGCCTCGCCAATCATTACAAGCCAGTCGCTGATTCACTGTCATGTCCCGGAAACTCGGAACACGACCCTGCGCTGCGAACCAGTATCTGATGTTCTGTATCGTCCGCCTTCCGACATGCCTGATAGACCTGATGACCTGTTGTCGCCGGCTCGCTTGCAAGATATCATGCAATTTTTACAATGCCTCGTTTAGGCCGCCGCCCCGTTTCTTGGATCTCGAAGGGATGAAGATTTTTTGCGTGTGGCGCTCAGCCAAGCGACGGCCAGGTCCGGAAATCGTTACTGAATGTGGACTCTGATGATGATAACGGTTGCAAGACCGTTTTTGACTGGGTGCCACTATCTTAAGCTCCACCTATCCACCACGCGAGCAATTAAAAAGGATGTGGGGTTGCAAGGGCCAGAATGTCGACGTTTGTTTCGATTCGAGAAAGGGCGAGGGCTGATTTCCAATTGTAGGGGAAGCGGTTGGAACAAAACCCTTTCCTTACAAAGTCCACCACCCTCGGCTTGCGGCTGTCTGTTGGCTAGTGTTTGAGGCTGCTCCCGCAACTGCCCGGCATGATGGCTTGAACACAGAACAAAGTCCGCCACCCTGACGATGCTAAGATGATCTCGCGGGCGTGTCGAAGAACATGAGTGCAATCAGCCGTGAACGCGCAATCCCGGCGAGGACGTTGGCAGCGAATTGAGATCAACTTCAGATTCCATCGTAAGCGATATATGGTGAAAACCCACTATGAAGGTGGTTTGAACGAACGAACAGGGTCGATATCTTCCACGCCACATCATGTACCCCGCGTTTTCCAGGGATCTGTCACGATTTCCTCAGCCAAGCCCTTGATCTATAAATTACCAACAATAGAACAGGCTTTGTGGAGGCGGGAAGTCAAGTGATGCTCGCAGATAGACGAGAAGGTGGGTGGTGCTCTCGCTGCTTTGGGTGACGATCCGTAGGACTTCGGCGGCTCCCGATGGATGACGCAAGGGCTACCTGGGTAACGTCTGGTCGAATCTGCAGGTGGACATTTGCATCGATAAGAACTGAAAGCCTTGCCGATTGAGTCGCGGGAAGGACTGATTGGTGCTGTCAACGAGAGACTATTGATGCTGGACGTTGGTCTTGATATGTCATTGGCTTTCTTGATAGCTGCACTCCTATATGTGAAAGAGTAGAGTATTTGGACGGAGATATTCCGGGCTGTCGACAAATGCTTGTGTTGCAGTTGAACTGGCCATTTGAATGCTGGGTCTGGTGCAGCTGAGGTAGGTGCCAACATGCACCTTCCGTTTGCACCAGGTGGTTTACATCTTGCAGGTGCCAGCAGCTGCCCAAGCCCACATACAACATTGATATCTCGCCATGGGGAGTGAAAATTATCACCATTGGTGGATTACCTGGTCAGAGTGCAACCCGAATATTTTGCGAGACGTCTGGCTTATTTATTAGTGAAACCCACCGCGGATACCGGCATACTACGCTCTCATTGTCATTCCGTTCCTGCTTTCGTATTTCAATGGAGGATCTGAGATCTCAGATCTCATCACATTGACAGGGAAGCATGCGCATCGGGCTTTCTCCGACACGGAGACATCCACATCCATGTGTCACTCTTGGGTAGAGGCGGGACGGCAGAGTCCGTGACAATCGCAAGTGTGACGGCTACCTCCTATATATTCCAGGCACTTCTGCTGAATTGTTAGACAGAGCTTGACAACGTGATTATAAGAGCCAGTCTGGCAGAAGAGAAGGCCCAGACCCTGACAC